TTGGCAGTGATACACTGGTTAGTACTACAGATGACCACGACTGACCACAAGATGAACATGAGCCTTCAATGTGATGCTGCAGCTAGTAAAGCAAGCAAAACACTGGCTTGCATCCATAGATGCTTTTTGAGCAAATCCTGGGATGTCATTCTCCCATTGTACTCGGCCTTGGTGAGGCCACAGCTGGAGGACTGCGTCCAGTTTTGGGCTCCACAATTCATAAAAGGATGTGGAGAAGCTTGAGACAGTGCAGAGGAGAGCCACGCACATGATCAGAGGTCAGGAAAACAGACCTTATGATGAGAGGCTGAGAGCCATGGGGCTCATTAGCCTGGAAAAGCACAGGCTCAGGGGTGATCTGGTGGCCACCTATAAGTTTATGAGGGGTGCTCATCAGGATCTGGGGGAACGTCTGTTCACCAGAGCGCCTCAAGGGGTGACAAGATCGAATGGTCACAAATTCCGCCATGACCGTTTCAGGCTGGACATAAGGAAGAACTTCTCTACTGTTCAAGCCCCCAAGGTTTGGAATAGACTGCCGTCAGAGGTAGTTCAAGCACCCATTTTGAACCCCTTCAAGACACACTTGGATGCTTATCTTGCTGGGATCCTATGATCCCTGCTGACTTCCTGCCCCTGGGGTGGGGGGCTGGACTCGATGATCCTCCGGGGTCCCTTCCAGCCCAAATGTCTATGAAATCTATGAAAAAAGATCATTTATATTATTCCAAAATACAAACACTTAAAATAAGCAAATTTAACAGATTTTTGTAGTTATTAAGTATTGACCATGCAGCTGACTGTCACCTTATTTCAGTATTGTTATACTTAAGTTAGAAATAACTAGTTATGGAAATCTTAAATCTTACACGTTATTTTTATTAATTATAAAAATGTTACAGATTTCAAAAATGTAAGTCTTCTCTGTCTGCTCCCTCAAACCCCACATTGTCATGTCATGTTGTCTAATGTACTGAATATTACTAGCCCCTCCTCAAATACAGTCATAGATCACAGATGTATTAATAGATTCCCTGGGCTTAATCAGGGTAATTAAGCTGTGGTTTTGGGTCATCCCCAATCTCAAAATTGGCTGCCTGCAAGAAGCTACACTGGGATCTGATGAGCTCTGGGTTGGCTCATTGCCAGCGGCAGGTGCATATGTGCCTTGGGGTCTACAGCAGGAAAGGGGCTGGGACTGAGCTGTCTCTAGCTCCTTCTCCGCCATCCACCCTGAGGTGTGCATGCACTCACTGCCAGCAATGAGCTGGGCTTGGACTCTGCAGACCCTATGCAACTGCTTGCATCCTCTCCGCTGCCTGCCACAGCCAGCCTGGGCCTAGGCTGTGGGCAGGTCCCTGCTGCTAGCCACAGAGCCCAGGCAGCTTGCAGCCTCACTGCTGCCTGCTGCAAGCAGCCCTGCTTGCTCCCTTCTCCCCCCACCCCACTGTGCTCCAGGACTGCAGGGCTTCCTGCCCTTCTCTGTGCTTACTGATATATTTTTGGTTTGGGGGTTTTCTTTCCTACCAAGTCTGCCAAAATCACAGAGCCAGCTGTTTTTTGTGGCATATGCCTGACTTCATGTTTCCTGTGAAAAACACAAAATTGCGATTTCGGTAGGTCCGTAGTCATAGAAGAGAATCCTTCACTAGTTGAAGAATCTTGGTTAATCCCTGGCCCTAGACTTTTGTGGATTAAATCCTAGTTTTGAGCCCTAAAGGAGAACATGTCTATGGAGACCTTATTTCCTGCTTCTTCTATTAGATGTGCTGCCTCTGATAGTCAACTGCTTTTAGATGACTAGAGTTGATGATTCTTTCTTTGCTCCTGCCAATACTAACAAATCATCTGTGTTAACCAAAAATCCCAACAGTCTATGGTTGAAATATTTTCAGCTGAGACAATCAAGGCTGAAGTCATCCCCATTTCTGTTCAATCCTATGAAGTGTCTGTACGTATCATAGGAAATGTGGAAAAGGAAGAAGTAACATGTGTTGTGTATATATATATTTTTTTATAAACATAGTCTTACAGGTTAGCTATTTGTTATTAATCTTCCACACTACCAGGAGGTAAATCAAGTGGGAAAAATCTACATAAACCCAAACAGAGATGAAATAAACAAATTGGAAAGACTCCAGTGGAGAGGAACAAAAATCATTAGAGGTCTAAGAATCATGACTTACGAGGAAAGGTTGGAAGAGAACTAGTATATGTAGCCTGGGAGAAGACTGAAGGAGAGTTTGATAACAGTCTTCAAATACCTGCAGGGTAGTGGCAAAGAGGTTAGTGATTATTCTCTGTGGCCAGAGGAGATAGGACAAGAAGTAAGAGCCTTAAACTTCAATGAAGGATATTTAGTTTGGATTTTTAGAAGAACTTTCTAACTATGAGGGCAGTTAACCATTGAAACAAGTTACCTATAGAGACATAGTTGCATCCCTAGAAGACTTTAAAAGCAGGGTAAGTGAAAATTTGGATGAGATGCTTTAGACTAGGAAACACCTGCCTTGAGCAGGGAGCTGGACTAGATGACCTCTTCACGTCTTTACAAACACTTCTTTCCTATTCTGGGAAACAGGAATTCCAGAATTCTGGAGGAAAGAACAAAATCTGTTGGTTAGGTGTAATACAACCTGTCCAGGCTGGAAGATTTTAGTTTTCCCACAGCTGAGCTTAGTGTCACAGAGGATCCTAACCCTAACAATATTGGCTTCAGGAAGGAGGCTGTCAATAGATGGAAGCTGACTCTCACAGGAAACAGGGATGTTGATAGAGTGTGCTCTGTGCAGAATAGGCTAATTGTGTCAACTCGGAGATGGGAATGACTTGGGTCTCATAGAGCTACAAAGGGAGATGCTAGCCATAAGTGAGGAAATGTGTATCTAGGCTTCTCATGATGTTAATCTGTTTTCCTAACAGTTTGTACCCCAGAAGGAGGAAAAGAAAAATGCTTTATTGTGAAGAAGCTGTTTTTGTTTCACTGCAAACATATGCAGTCACAGGCTTCTAAAGGGTAAGCATTATAAATGCCAAAAATGAGTTGGGCCTATGCTGCCAGTGCATTTGCAAGCTCAGGGAGTGTAGCCCAGAGTTCCCATTTGAAGGTATGGCTGTAGTATAGTCACTAGCCAACACAGGCACCAGTGGCTATAGCAGCATTGATTTTGGAGGAAGCTAACTGTTCAACTAGTAAATCTGCTTTTCAGGCAAATTTTGCATTCCGGGCTGATCTCTGTGTTGCTGCAGCTAGACTGCTACCAGACTAACTACAGTTAAAAAATGGGGTGGGGACATGTACCATACACTGTAATTGCAGTAGTGACTAAATACTGATTGGCTGGATCATTTTGTTCTAGATAGAATGAAGTGCAAAAAGTAAAACATGCCACCTAAAAGTTTAACTCAACAAACTAAAAGGAATCTAAGGGTATAAACCCACATATATTAGGAGGTATTTCATAAGGGCAGCAGCTGTTACATTCTAATTCTTATGTTTGGACAAGCTGGGAATGGGGTAAGTGTAGCAAAACCACTCAAGCTTTAAAGCTAAAGTTGGAGCAGTTTATGATACATTGGTATCCTTCTCAGCTTTTTGTCTGCCTACAACAATTAGAACATAACATTCTCCTTCTGAGACCCCTCCTAATGTATCAGAACCAAAGACAGGATTTGCCCTGTAGCTGCCATACTCAGCTCTTTAAACTAGCCAGTTCAGAGTGAGTTCCTTTTTACAACAGCACACTGCTCTTTTTTAACATAGACAAAGAAATTATGAACAAGAGCAGAATCAACATCAATGATGATTTTTAATGGTAGCTTTGCTGAATTGGACTTTTGAGTAGCATTTTTTGTCAATTAAGGAATTTCTGCCTAATTTTTCTGTTGCACAAAATAGAGTTTCTTAGCTGCAAAGGCAAGAGACTTTAAACTTAAACAAGGCCCATAAAATGGCTTTGAAAAAACATAATAAAACTGAATGTAGAGGTGATTCTAGGTAGTACTTTTTTTTTCTTTCATTTTCTTTCTTTGATAGGTTGTTTGTTTATGATCATGACAATTATTTAAATCAGGGGTGGCCAACCTGTGGCCCATGTACCACAAATGATGCCAACAGACTACATGTATGGCATGTGGCAGATCAGGGAGGGGGCAGGCAGCACAGTGGCAGATGGGACAGGGAGCAGAAACCAGAGCAGCAGATTAGGCAAGGGAAGGAGATTAGAGTAGCGCTCAGGAGGACACGTGGTTTAATTTGTGACTTTTTAATTTTAATTTGTAATTTAAGCTGTTCATTTGTTTAAAATCAAGTTTATTTTTCAGAATTTTTAAAGGATTTTTTCAACCATGGTGTTTGACTGTTCTTATTGTCCTAACATTTATTTTTCCTGAAAAAAAAAAAATCAACCACAAAATAATTCTCAACTGTAATTATTGTAGGATTTTGGAGGGGTGAGGGTGAACAGACAGGTGAGAGAGGGGGTTGTTGTCTGGGGGGGGGTTTCGCCCAGGTACACCAGCTCAGCAGCAATATTAAGACGTACTCAGTTTCTTTGGATTAATGTTTGTCTTGTTTCCCATAGCCTTCAAAATTCTCAGTTCATCTTCCATCCAAGTACCAGCCAGGCCAAGGGTTGCTTAAGAGATCAGAATAGATAGGTGTATTCAGTCTGGCCTGGTTGGCAGTCTTGTAGGCTTTCCTAAATATTACACATTTTTTGTACTTTACCACTTTTATTTCTTTACAGTCTGATTTGAACCATTAGTTATCTTTTGTGCTGCTGCAAGAGTGTAGAGCTTTGACGTTCACATAGATTCAACTGAAATAAACAAACGAATTATCCCCTCCCTCTTAGTGTTTTGATCTTTGATGGTTTGTTATGAAGTAAGTAATGAAATAACTAGAGAAATATGGATGGCTTTAATTAAATAACGAATATACCTAGCTTCTGACATTGTTAGCTACCAATAATAGTTTAAAGATTGGCTATTTCTTCTTACTAAACTTGAGTTTAATTAAAAGTAAACCAACAGTAATTAAGGAGACAGAGAATTGAATATTCCTTATCAGAGTGCTTTAACTCTAGTTGCTGAATAACAGCAACTGATAAATGTAAACCTATTGATCTGCTCTTTTATCCTAATTCCTATATTGTGAATATAATGGGAAATGGTTTTTCCTCGCCTTAATTAATAAGAAATTGTTGTTCAGGGTCTAATCAACAGTTCTTTGAATTCTGCATCCATATAAAATTAAACTTCTAACATAGCAAAGCATCTTTTAAATCTCTTTGTATGCAGCCTAAACCACCCAGGCATACATTTAACTGACAACCCACCATTAGCTAGAAAATGAAGAGTCAGACTGCTGAGAACAGCAAGTTGCACCTATTTTCATTGCTGAGCTAAAGAAAAGGTTAAAATATATGACTGGTCCTGGATGACTCTGCCACTCTTCCTTATCAGGGAGACTTTTTCCTTATCACAAATGAGCATTAGGCATCACACAACAGTTTCTTTTCAGTATTTTTAAACTATACATTCATGACCACAACACAGTCCTGTACTGTTGCAACATCTGTTATGAATGCACAGTTTGATTCATGCACAGTAGTATTTAACAATCAAGAAAGGTGCCTTACAATGTGTTTTTCAAAATTAATAGACTATCTTGAAACTAAATTCAGATTTTGTGTATGGTAATTGCACAACCAGCTGTTAACACCAGGTCTGAATTTGTTTCTCTCTCTTCCTAGGAACGAAAATGAAAGATTACCAAACTGGAAATGTTCTGAAAACTGAAGACCTGATTTGTTTCTGTAGCCTAAGTCACTTCAGGCGGGGGGGGGGGGGGGGG